CTAAGCATTTGATCTTTTTATACTGATCAGTCCTAATTCTCATTAGAATTAATTAATGATTCTCACTTGCTGAAGGAATGATTGTTCAATAGAACATTCATTATTATGGGGTTAAATGAGCTAAAATGACTGTAGGATCACCTCCATTGCCATTACTACTGTAGCTATTAATCATTTAGTACTGATTTTTTAGTAATTAAAAACTTCCTCCTCCTGTCCCATTGATGTTCTGACTGCCATGTAATCTCTTTTCATCATGTGGAAGCTATGGGAGCCACAGGAGAGAAGAAAATGTTAACTGCCACTGAATGATGTTACTGACGGAGATGATTTTTGGTAATTGAAGACTTCTGTCCTGCAGTCTCCATTGTAGAGGATTACTTAGAAGTTGGCAAAACCAAGGAACAGATAGAGGAAGTTTTTGAATACTAATAATTGCACCCACATGGCAGGATGGATTTGGTTTAAATCAAATTGATTTAAAATATGATTTAAATGTTTTTTAAAAATGATTTTTCATAAATTTTTCTTATTTAAATTTTGTTTTTTGTCTGTTCTTGTTAACATTATGACTTATAGCTGCATCAGTCATCCAGGTGCCTGACTACTGGCATTCTCCTGCCGTCAGATACTAGTGATGTTCATCTTTGGGAGAGAATTATACTTTACATAAGTGACCAAGTATTTATTTATGTATCAATGCATGGAAGAGGAATCTTCTAATTTTTTCTAAAATTGTGTTTAATCATTTATTATCAAAGAGGATACTGTTGATCAATGGAATCAGTAACAATTTCAATTCAGAATCGATTTTTACCTTCCTGACTTCTTGAAACCTTTCTATGTCTGTATTTGACATTTCTGAGTCTGCAGTGGAATGTCATATTTCTGTATCTGTCAACTGGAATTTCATAATTTAGCTGCTGAAGATCTAATAATGTTGTACACGATTGTAGGGAAGTGACCATGTCTGTAGATAATTTATGATGTTAATAATTGTTCTGTTGTGGCCCAGAAAGACTCAGTTACTCATGGTTATTACATGGATCCCTATGTACTATAACATGCCTTATGGCCTGTGCTTATTTTGCACCCCAGTAACTGAAAAGGTTTACTATGTATTACTGCACAGATAGTATGAATCTGGTACTTTTAAAAAAGAGTATGTGATATTTTTTTTGGAGAAGTTGGCTAATGGTTGCCCTGTTCATTTCTTGACAGTGTTTAAATTTTCAAGGACTTATGGGTAAGCTCAGTGGTTTGGATATCTGATTGCAGAGCCAGAGGTTATGAGTTTTATTCCCCACTGTGTGTCCATGACGGGCTGGACATGATGGTCCATAGAGTTCCTTCCAGCTCTACAGTTTAAGATTGTTGTTGTTGAATCTTTGGATATTGGTTACATTTTCTAGTTACAACACTCTTGAAATACTGAAGATATTGGATGGTCAATACTACCATATATCTCTTCAGAATGAAGCCATATCTGTTGGTGTATTCATTTGTTTCTGAAATATCTTCTTCATACATTCATTTTCCATTTCTTGCCTGGAGGTAATACTGACGCAAAGTAATATATTGTCACTTGCTGAATTTTTGTTTGGTTCTGTAGGTTTTCTCCTCTGCAGTCCTTATCAGAGACCACGAGACATTGTTCAAATCTCCCTTTAGCTTACTTTGGCAAAATATTTATTATTAGTCAGCCATATGACACTCTTATCTGGGGCTTGTTACACAATGGCTGATGATTCCCCAAGAACCATCTTTCAATTACTTACATCTGCCCCTGGAGGCTGAACTCTGCCAAAATGCATAGCAGCCTACTATGGATACTTTTCTGGAGTTTGTTTCACATAAATTGCAGAATTAAAAAATGTCGCTGTTATATTCTGCAGTTTTCCAGGTTTTTGGAGAAAGTAAATCTGTAAGCAAAGTACCTACTGAAGTCACTGTAGAACTTACTTCTGAGTTAACCTGAATGGGCAGGCTGTAAAATGATAACGGGTTCTACAAAGAGGTCATGCAGCAGGAAAGATCTGAAAGAAATGAGTGGAGTTAATGGGAATGCTCTTGTAAAATATTTTATTTATTTATTTATTTAAAATATTCTACCCTGCCTTTCTCCTTAAGAAGGACCCAAAGTGGTTTACATAATTGAAAGACAGTATTTAAAGCTGAAAACAATGAATATCTAAGACTATAATGACATAGAAAGCAGAATTATATGCATATTTCCAGGAACCCAGAGGCCCATGTAAGATTTATTCTAAGTATAACAGAACATCAGAACGATAGGTTTGATTGAAGGTATATCAGTATGCCAAATAATACATTAATGCACAGATTTTAAAAATACTAGTACCATCACCTGAATGAGTTTATAACTACTAGGATAACAGAAGGTGTGAAACATCATCCTTTGCTACCTCCCAGAGAAGAAAATCTGTCCTCTAAAGCTGGTATTTACATTGCCACCAAAGATAGTACAGTGATGCCCCGCAAGACGATGTTAATTCGTGCTACTGAAATCACTGTCTTGTGAAAACTTCATCTTGCGAAAAGCGTTTCCCCATTGGAATGCATTGAAACCGATTTAATGTGTTCCAATGAGGAAAAATCATCATCATCCTGTGAAAATCGCCCATAGGGAAGCCACTTTGCGAAGCGCTGATCAGCTGTTTTAAATCGCTGTCTTGCAAAAAATAGGCCTGAAAACACCCATTTTGCGAAGATCGCCCCTAGGGAAGCCATTTTGCGAAGCTGACGATCAGCTGTAAAAATTGTCGTCTTGCGAAAAAACGGTCCGCGAAGCACAGACCAAATCATCATCCAGCGAAATTCCCCCATAGGAATCACTATTTTGCAAAGCAAAATGGCGGTCGCAAAACCTCCTTGTCATGCGGATTCGTCGTTTTGAGGGGTAATCATCTTGCGAGGTACCACTGTATTTTAGTTTTATCTAGGTTTGGTTTGACTGCATTTTCATTTCAACTTTTTCTACAGTAGAAGGGCATCACTTTTCAAGACTACAAACCATTCACACAGTCTGCACTATGGGCGTAGTATATGAATAGTTTAAACATGAAAATGGAGGAGCAGTGTTTGGTTTGATTACTTTGCTTATTGGTTGAGGGCAGGGGCCAGCAACTGCAGACAACCAACGGCCAACTTCCCACCCTCTGCTTTGAAGCAAAGTGTGGTGGGATTGTACTCTTTGTCTGACAGGTGGCCTTAGAAGTGTATTTCTCCATTTGTGGCAGTTTTACAGTGGTGCCTCGCATAGCGAGGTTAATCCGTTCCGGATTAACCTTCGCTATGCTGAAGCATCGTTGAACGGGGCAGGGATTTCCATTGGAACGCATTAAACATGGTTAAACGCGTTCCAAATGGGCCAAATACTCACCGTTCAGCGAAGCTTCTTAATGGCTGGCAGCCATTTTCGCGCCCTCGCCTCGCTTAACGAGGGCGCGAAAACGCTGCGCGCGGCCATTTTGAGCCATTTCCGGGCTTCCGGCGGCCATTTTGGCCACCGAACAGCTGATCGTCGGGCTTCGTTTTGCGAAGATCGGTAAGCGAAACGCTTACCGGTCTTCGCAAAGCGAATTTTCCCCTATTAGAAAAACGTTAAGCGATCGCATTAGCGATCCGAAAAAACGGATCGCTATGCGATTTCGTCGTTATGTGGTGCGCTCGTTAAGCGAGGCACCACTGTACTTCCATTTCCATGTGGCAGTTTTACCGTCATGGTTTTATCTATTAACCCCCTTCTTACATCAGTTTCCCCTAAAGTTATGAGGTACAATTACAGACTGTTCCACAGATGGTAACTTACCCCGATATGGTTAAATCATATCAATCATAAATCTAGTTTTATATATTGTAAGGCGTGCAGGGAAATTGGTTCATATTTTCACATGTGGTGGCCATGTAGTAAATGATTTATAGAGAAACTGGTGAAATAACAATTCAGTAGATTATTTTATATCAACCATTGGGCTTTGTCTCATTGTTTCATAATTAAAATTCAAGTTTGCTGCATAAATGTCTTGTGATAACACATTGTCAATCAGTTAGAATGGCAATCGCCTTGCAATTGTCTAACTGATCACTGTCAACTTAGTAGGCTAATGTTTGGCAAACTGCACTAGTGGAGCAGGTGCATTCACTTAATGGAATGAAACTTCTCATTTTGATGAAATGTCAGAACCATTTATCAATTATATAAACACTAATGCTCATGTGCCATTCCCCCTAAGTGTTCATGTAGGTTTCTTGTAAAATTTGTTCAACCTGCTTTATCTGAATTTTGATTACCTTGCTCTATTAGTGGCTTTTGTGGATGGTAGATACAACTGTTAGCCCCTTGTACATTTAGTGAAATGTTCAAGTCACATACTTAGACGTTAATGGATTGCTCGCCAGAGTATTCTTTTAGTCCAAACCTGTGACATTTTCTGTCTTAGAGTGTGACCCACCTCTACAAAATGAAGCAGACAAATGGGAGTTGGTAAAGTAAGTAGACTCTCAGAAGTAGGAAGTGTTGTTTTATTTGAGCTATAGCTCCCAGAATATCCTAGTCAAAATGGTCCATTGGATATTCTGGGAGCTATAATCTGAAAGATTTAGTTTTGTATCTGATATCCCTGCACAGCTGGATTTAAGGAGGGTCTGGCCAGTAGCCCCGCAAGGAGACTCGTCCTCTCTTCCCCTGCCTGGAGTGGCTAGCTGAGCGGGACGAGAGTGGTGTTCCGGGAGCGATTGGAAAGATGAATGAGGCTGCCGCTGGTTGCTTGAGTGGATGGTCCAGCCCCAGGGGTTGGACCTTTGTTAAATTCAGCAGTGCAGGGATATTTGTGTACGAATATGAATACCTCCATCTCTAATCTTAATCCACCAGAATGTACTTCTTTCAATAATCTCGTTCTGGCCTAGTGTTTGGGTTCCCTTTCAATGAAGCTTCCCTCTTGCTCAGTTCTAGTGAACATCTTTCTTGCTTTCAGATGGGCACGTTTAGATCCCGTGATGGTGAATATTTTTTGGAACCTTTGGTAATGGCAGATGAAGATGAATATGAAGATGATCATAACAAACCACATCTTATATACAGACATGAAGAATTTGTGAGAGATCCTGATCAGAATTCCTATAAACCTTGTGAAACTTCAGGTATGGCTACGCTTTGAACAGTTAGTGATTCATGGTACATTAATTCCTGTACTAGAAATAGAACAGTGTTAAAAATAATGTTTTAGCATTTTTCTCTGGTGATGTTAGTATTTTTTGTCAAAGTTTGCTTGTGTTTAACACAGGATGTATGTTAGTGATATGGAGCAAAATGCTACAACTGATAGTTGAAAACAGAGAGTGCTTCTTTGCTACAAAGTCTCATTGATTGTTCACATCTTTAATTAATATTCTTTTTGGCGAAGAATCTTGAATTTTGAATGTCAGTGATACACTGTGACTTCTTTGTTAAACAGTTCCACAATTTTACTCACAATCTGTATTTCCTTGGTTTACCATGGGAGAAGGAATTATAATTAAATGTCTATGTCCAAACTGTTGATATTTCCTTAGTGTCTTTTCTGATGTAAGTTGATCTGCTAGTGGTGCCATCATCTGGGAGAAGCTAATTACTAAAACACAGCTGCTTTGGTCTGATTCTTCCATAGATTTGCTAGAACAGTGTAATACAGCAGAAGTGGACAACTTTAGTAGGTCTGAGGACCAAATTTCTGCTCTAGAAAGTGTGGGGACCATCAGATAGAGTAGGAGGAAAAGTCCACCAGAATTGTCTACAATCATGATCCATTCCAGTTTCAAAAAATGAAATGTTGATGGTAGTCCAGTAAACACTGCAGCTATTCACTGCAGCCCATCTCAAAGGTGGATTTCTGCTCCTAGAGGCTTCCAGGAGTGTTGTTGTATCATTTTTAAAAAATAGGGCAGGGAACTCTGATGTTACCAAGGGCCGCATAAACAGCACCAGAGAAGCACTTTGCTCAAAGATATTGCTGTCCAAAAACTATACCCATCAAAAAGTTGTGTTTCATGTAGATTATCAAAACAGAAAGGGTGTACCAATTTCACTGTATAAAACAATCTGAACCTTATATTTCCATATGTCTGTAGTAATTGTTTCCAATTACCATCTGTTCTACCTGCATAGACAGTAAGAGTCGCTGCCAAACATTCAGAAATTTGGCAAACATCTTTCATCTGTAGGTGCTTTAAAAGTTCCTTTTGAACGCTGCAGTATCATTGGTATGCTGTTCTTACAGTTGGAGTAGAGCTTGCTTTTTATTTTGCATTGTCTCTCATAGAACATGTATGGAGAATACCAAGCGGAGCTTGGTTGCAGAACAAGGTTGGAAAGTTAATGGTTGGCTTTTGAAATTTAATTGGAAGATGTGAGCTGGCAGTTTCTTCCTTCATTTTCATCTCATAGTGTGTGGCTTCTTTTCATTAAGAAGGCTTTGCAGTCTGGAGGTGTGTGTTGACTCTTGGCTGTTCAAGCATCAGATAAAGCCAAAATACTTTTTCCCATGTTTGTTTTGCTAGAGAACAGTGTCCATTATTTCCCAGGAACGGGACAAGCACTTCCCAATCATTCCTGTGTTGTGGGATCTAGTGTGATTCTTAATTAGATGACCTGACACTGCATTTAAAAAATGGACATTATCTTGAGGAGCAATAATAATTGTTTATATGAGTGGTAACAGCAGAAGTGACAAACCATTTTTCTTGTTTCACATATGCTACAGTCTCTCTCTGAAAATAAGACAGGGTCTTATGTTAATTTTTGCTCCGAAAAACACATTAGGGCTTATTTTCGGGGGATGTTTTAATTTTTTCATGTACAACAATCTACATTTATTCAAATACAGTCATGTCATCTTCTTCTGGTTGCTGCACAATGGTGGAGGGCGGGGTTTCAATTAAGTGGGGCTTATTTTGGGGGTAGGGCTTATATTACGAGCATCTTGAAAAAATCATACCAGGGCTTATTTTTAGATTATTTTAGGGGAAACAGGGTAGTTGGCCACCATTTCTTTTAATTAGACTGAATATATTTTTGAGAGGGGTATTACTGCCAAGTGCGCTGCATAAGGCTTGCATACAGAATGAGAATATTCAGAAAAGTGTGAACGATGCAGAATGCAGCCAGTTGTTTCGTTGGAAGTATTTTGAGGAGAGCGTGAAGCAAGAGGGAGAGAGAGAGGAAGGCAGCTTGCTTTGGTGGGGGGGTTAGTCTTCGCTTTTGAATTTTCAGCCATTTTTTATGTGCAGGATTATTTCATTAAAAGGTCTCCATAAGTCTCAATTGTCTTGATGACACATGATGATAATTTACCTCAAAAAGGGTAATGCAATTTCACCATTCAGTATTCTTTTTAAAAAAATGATTTTAGTTTATATATAGTCTATATGGTTAAGAAGTGAACACACCATTGTCAAGAAGACAGTGTTTCTTGCCTAAATCAAGTTGTTAGGCCCAAATCCTGTAGATCAGTCAGTCAGAATCCAATTGAATATGTATGTTATTTCAATTTATATTGTGCTATTTCTGGGGAAAATACCCAAGTTCTACTAAATACACAAATGTATTTAAGATAAAATTGAGGCCCTTTATACAAAATTCAGAGACCTACATTAACTTTTATTTAACTGCATATTCTATTTCCAATTCAGAATGTGTGCTTCCCTAGTGGAAGTGTTCTGGGTATTGGTAAATCAACTCCTCCATAAGATTAAATGATTCATATGGGCTTACTTTTTTACTTAGTTTAGCATAGTAACTCTCAGCTAGAGTAGGCCCACTTGAATCAATGAAACTTATGGAAGAGATGACTCACTAAATCCCAATTGATTCAGTGGGCCTACTCTAGTGTGATTTACTACACAATTTAGCCAATATGTAAATGCAGTATCGATCCAATATGATTTCTGAATATTCTTTAATGTTAGTTATTCTCAAAGTCTGACTACTGATAAGAAGAGAGGTAATTAATTAAAAAATAAAGACTTGTTTTTCATTGTGTGTGGGGTGGTAGTTACAAAAGAACTTAGAACTGAATGAGTTGTTTCATTCCCTGTGTTAGAGCAGTTCTGAACTCCATATTATGCATCTGAACAGACATGCTTCACTGAGTTTTTTGGAAGCTGTGACATCTTTGTGAATATTCCGGCTGACATTGCATAGAACTGATGTAATGATATATTCAATCTCATGGCTTTCTCCCACTCCCCTTGAGGTGTTACTCCTTGCCACCTCCCTTGAAAACATCTGCTTCCCTGTCCTTTACTGCCTCCTGGTGTCCACTCAGTAGTGTAACTATAATTTTGGTCAAATTGTATAAGTAGTCAAAATCCATAATGGACTTTGAGAATAAAGTTGTCCATACATTAAAAAACAAAAACCAGCATGTGTATTTCAATACATATTGAGAGAAGACTTCACTTTATAGTTTGCGTTCTTTTAGATGATATTATTTTTGCTCTTTACAAGTTAAGGAATAAGTACAAAGTGCTAAAGCACTGGAGCACTAGAGACACTTGTGTAATGGTTTCAGGGAAGATAATATAATACCATGTCAGGCTAAGATTATCATTGCAGGAGAGTACAGTGGTGTTCTTGTGCAGCACAGCAGATCAACATTCTATGAGGCAATTCTGAAAATGGGTGCAGCCTAAACAAAAAATTATAACTTTGAAACTGGACTTTGGATCAGCACTAAATTTGGCAGAGATGTAGCAGACAGTCTTCTCTTGGTCTGTGCCAAATTTTTAGTTAATGATTTTTTTAAAAGTAAGATTGCTTCCTCCTAAAGAAACAAGGAACCTTACATGTCCCCAGATTTAAAACAGATCAAATAAATTGAAAAAGCAGATATTACATATCTTGAAAGAGAAAAGTTGATCCTATGTGCTTTTCTTTAAAATCCAGACTGTAGGGGCTGAAATTGTTGCAGCTTTGCAGCCCAGAAATCTAAATGTTTGAAGGGCAATGAAAGGTCACAGAAACAGAGTTTCTTTGAGGAATCAAAATCACACACACTCAAGCTTGCTTTAAAGAAAGGAATGGAATGACAGTCCTCCAGAAAGGGGGACATTTTGCCATGTATCTCCAGAGAATTAATATACATTTTGTATTCGATACATTTGAATACATTTGTATTCAAAGTTTTGTTGCATTACAAAAACACAGAGCAGTTTCTCCCAGCCCCGGTTTCAGTAAACATTTTCTCAGGATTTCTGAGGCACAAGTCTTCAGTTAATTGACTCTCAGGAGGAGAACTTTTTAACTCCTTCCAAACCAAACAGGCATTGGTACTGGGAAAGGGGTTCTTTGTCTGGTTGTAAAAATATTTTTTAAAGAATAGAGAGCCAGTATTCAGAAGCTCACTCATTTAACCTACAAAATTACTGTTATTTGCTTTGTGGCTGGGGCCTGCCCAGAGTAACCATTAGGTTAGATGGTTGGTATAAACATCAAATACATAAATGTTAGCAGAGCTTTGGTGCCTATATCCTGTCAAAGTTTTAACCGTTCTACCTATCTTGCCGCTAGACAAGTCACTTCGGATGTATGACAGCTATATGAGTTAATGACTTCCAAAATGTATATCATTAACAGTTCTGCTCAGATCTTACAAACTAACAGCATCTCATGTTAGGCTGTTCTCTCTTTCTACTGCCCCCCTCCCAGCAATATCGTCTTTTCTATAATGTCTGCTCAAGTCTTGCAGTTCTGACTCCAGTCCTCTGAAGATGCTGGCCACAGAGACTGGCGAAATGCTAGGAAAAACATCCTTCAGAACACGGCCAAAGAGTCCGAAAAACCCACAACAACCATCAGATCCCTGCTGTGAAAGGCTTTGAAAAAGCTATGGCTTCATTTATTCAGAGGAGCTGCCTCATATTTTCTGCCTTTCTGTCGGCTGTGGTACCTGTAAGGCTCTCCTCCAATATGACATTTTAAAGTAGATTTTTGTCCCTGTCTTTCTTGACTGCTTTCTTTCATATAGTATGGATGATTTTGACTTTGGTTTCCAGTGCCAATCTTTGCTAATTCTAACCTCTCCCTTTTAAAATATTTTTGAAGGCAAGGATACATCTTTTGGAAAACATGTACCCAATACTTTTGAAGAGCTTTTGTTGCTTTACTGAAAATATGTCCTTGCAATCTAAGTGGCCATTTTTTTATTTTTTTAAATAAACAAATACATAAATAGTATATGGGACTCCCCAGAGTTCTAGGCCTCCACAAAACATGGCAGAATTTCCACCCACACCTCCTAAAAGGCACACAAGGGCTGTATGTATGGCTACATGTTGCCCATCTGTGATCATTCTGTAAATTTTCTTCCAATGAGAAAATTCCATTAGAACAAGAACCACCTGATTCCTCAACAGTAGAGATGGGGATATGCCATTAACTCTACTCAACAGCACAAACCAGTTGGAGAACAAGAACTACATTTGTGCTGTGCTCATGCTTCAGTTGGCAGCAAAGATAAGAACCTCTGTTAAGAATTTTGAGTTATGCTACTAAGGAACTTTCCCCCCTTTTCTTTAAGATAAATTATAAAGGGTACTGGGGAAGGTACTGTATTTTCTTAGAGTGCATTCAGCAACACGTGACTTCTCCAAGACAAACTGCTTCCTATACAGTTCTACAAATTCTATGTTGAGTGCAAAAAAAATGTGTTAAGGGTTAGGGTGTCTTGTAGTATGTATGTGTGATGTCATATTCATTCTCTTTTGCAGAAGAGCCAAAGAAAAGCACTTTATTCTTTCCATATGAAGAAAGCTTGGTGAAAAAATTAAATGTTGTTGAAGAGCATACCGTTCTAGAATATGCTTCTAAAAACCTGTCTGTAGAAAATGATGTAAACAATTCACATTCCCGAAGAAAACGTTTCCTTTCCTATCCAAGATATGTAGAGGTTATGGTGACAGCTGATGCCAGAATGGTTCAGCACCATGGACGGAACTTGCAGCATTATGTGTTAACGTTAATGTCAATAGTAAGTACACCTGCATTATAGCAGAATCCAAAATTTATTTGCATTTCAAGGGCATTAACCCTGTCAGTCTGGAACAGTCACTATGCAGCCCAAATGATTGTTCCAGGGTACCTGTTATTGTTTTAAGCAATTTTGTATCATTCAGACTGCATCTGCCAGAATTATGACCAAGATCTGAGAAACTAGTTTTGGGAGCTTGAGGGACTTCAGGCTTATGTTGTTGTTTTTTTACCCTTCTAAATGGCAACTTCTACTCCTTTGTGGGCAGAGGACAGAGATGTGCATCAGAATGTTGCATTGTATCTTGAAACCTGGGAATGAGTATGAGAATTATCCACCCCACTCTTCTTCAAGCAAGGAGAAGAGTAGATAATTATTCTGATGTGGTACCTTGTGGTGGTGACCTTTGCAAGTCATAGGACTGAGTAGAAATGGAACAGAACAGAGCATGGGAAAATACTGGGGTATTCTGGGAGATGTGGTCAAAAACAACTCTTCCAAGTGAGACTTGTGCCAGTGTTCTGTCCTTATACTGCCAGCTTTGCTTAACATTTATTCAACACCGTTCTAGTTTAGGCTGACAAGAATTTTACTAGCTTTTGAGGAATAATTCAGGGCAAATTATGTGTGCTTCTTGTGCTTTCACAGGGGAAAATGCTTTAGAAATTCAGGGAGGAGAATGCTGATCCATGTATGTTTATATATGCTATGAATGTGTGCTGTGCCAGATATTGTCCTACAAATCTCTTAGCCACAGATTAGGCTAGTGGACAACCAGTTTGTATATTGAGCACTTGCTGAATATACAGCTCCCATGCTGGCTTTAGACACCTACCCATGTTCAAAGATTTGTTATTGATATACAAAGAGCTAAATACCTGGTAAACAGACAGATTTCTCCTCCTGTGTATGCCTGGTTTTGAAGTAATTTGTTGGATCCCACAGTTGATTCAAATCTCTTAACCTCCAGAAAGCAATATTTATTTGAAAAATTTTAGTCTTATGTTATTTGTAGAACTTAACAGCATAATGGGCAAAATCCTGTTGGTGTAGTTAAAACTGGCATAAACCAGATGTGGGCACCAGATATAATTAATTAATTTAAATTAATTGAAACCTTTCTATCTCTCCCATTGAGGTCCCAAGGCTCCATGGGACTCCCGTTTGGAGATTTGAGACCAGGGAGCAATGACAAAGCTTTAAAAGTTTAAAAAAACAAACAAACCATAGAATTTCTGCCCATGGTTGCAGTTCCAGTGGTGATAATCCAGCAGTGATTTTGGTGCTTAAAGGCCCCTCCCAGCCAGACTCCCAAAGGCAAAAGGGAGCCCTGAGAAGTCCCAGAACTTCAAACGGAGGGAGGGGGTAATAATTCCTATTAATTTAAATTGATTATTTCTGACACCTACTGTGTATCTGGTTTACACTGGCATAACTATGCCAGCAAGATTTTGCTCAGTATATTTATATCAGTACAGCACAACAGCATTTGCAATGTAAGTGGATTAAAAATATAAAATTATATGAATCTGCATTATTTTATATCTTTCCATTAGGAGTAAAGGCAATATATAACAGCTTATTAACATGTTGGCTTTTTTTAAAGGTTGCTACAATTTACAAAGATGCAAGTATAGGAAATCAAATAAATATCGTGATTGTAAAATTAATTGTAGTTCACAGTGAACAGGTAAGAAATAACATACAGTTCAATGAGTAAAAATAGCTTGTTCCAATATTAGGTTTTGACATGTAATTTAAAATGTTAATACTTTTGAAATCTAACAATGTTAGTTAAAAAATGTAAGCAAATATTCTTTCAGAAGTTATACACAAATGTGACCTGAGCAAGCTGCTCTCATTTAGGTTTTATACATAGTCCAGTACTGAACCACAGCTGAGTTTTTATTCCAGTAAGTATGGGCTGGATTCAGAGTTTCATTTTCTGTGACAGAAGAAGCCTGTTCATATCTGTAAGTTTATAAATAGCACTTACTAAGTAGCAAAAGCAAAAAATAATGCTTCAAGCACTCTCTGGACAGTTTACAAGTTAATTATGCAGGCTACACATTGCCCCCCCCCCCAGCAAGCTGGGTACTCATTTTACCGACCTCAGAAGGATAGAAGGCTGAGTCAACCTTGAGCCCCAGGTTGTGAGCACAGTTTTGGCTGCAGTACAGCGGTTTAACCACTGTGCCACAAGGTCTCCTAGTACAAAGATAGGGTTACAGCTGTTTTCCTAAAATATTTTGTATATACATTTTAAGCCTAAAAGGTTGGCTTGGCTGTTTAAATTGTGATATAGCTGTTCACACTGATTGAAGTTACTGTTTTCATTAATAGTTAATGGAGGCTGTGTTTGATTCTTATAGTCATCCAGCTTTTGTGGTAATCTACTGGCTCAGAATTCCTCAGTTATAAACTTTTCGAAAGGGTTAACCATGCTGTAGGTATAATATGTGTACAAGATTATTGCTTTTGCCTTGTCTATTTTGTCTTCACAACTTATGTACAGGATGGACCAGCTATCAGTTTTAATGCAGCTACAACTCTTCGCAATTTCTGTATATGGCAACAAACACAAAACATTCTGGATGATACTCATCCTTCACATCATGATACTGCTGTTCTTATCACTAGGTACAGTATGGGAAATAATGAAGCAGCATTTGTCCTTATTATTCAGTATTTTTGGGTATATAAAAATGCTATGGGGTTATATCCAGTTACCTGAATATTTGCATAAACTATAGTTTATGTGGCCAGACATAACAACAAGTTAGGGTGAAGAAGAACAAGGGAATTTTTAAATGAGAGAAGGAGAGTTTGAAAGGAATACATGATTCTGTTACCACTTTGTTTTCTTGATGTTAGTTTGAAGCAATTAATGTTACACCTGTATCCGGTATAGAAACATGCTAGTTTTGGTGATGGTTTTAAATAGTTTTAGTTTTAGTGATGGTTTTAAATAGATATGTTTTAAGATCACAGTTCATCATCCTGATCCCAAGGCAAAGGACAACTTATGCTAAGCAAATGGGGCGACATTTTGCACTTGACTTTTAGAAAACCTGACATTTCCAAGACCTAAACAGAGTGAAGTTCAGCTGATGAAAGGATTTTGATTATGATTATGGCAGCATATTAGGCATAAGTGTCTAGAGTTTTTTTAAATCTTATTTTTAAACAGTAATATGTTGATAGAAAACTTTTGTTTCTTTAAGGGAAGATATCTGCAGAGCTAGAGAAAAATGTGATACCTTAGGTAAGTTGAAGTAGAAATATTGTGTTGCAGATTGTGTGCACATAAGAAGTGAATACTGAATTGTAATTTCACAATGAATATTTTAAGGCACAATGGGAGGAAATCATATAATTTATCTTGATTTATAAAACTTCCAGGACTAAGCTTCTGGAGATAAACATTTAGATATGTTTTATAATAAATATTTGGAGCGCATTTCTAGGCCTGTATTAATTTGAGTAGACAACATTACTGGCATATAATATTTTTCAGATTTAGATAATGAATTCAATTTTCTAGGTTTAGCTGAATTGGGTACAATGTGTGATCCACTGCGTAGCTGTTCTATTAGTGAAGAAAATGGATTAAGTGCTGCTTTTACAATAGCGCATGAACTCGGGCATGTGTAAGTATGTCTTTTCTACAACACAAATCTTCATACTTGCTTTACATAGGGTAACAACAGCAGTTTTCGCACTGCTATCCATTCTTACTTTTGGTGAAAACATGCTTTTCCAACCGAGAGCTGTACTTCCACATTAATACCTAGCATTTATATGGCTACTTTGAATGTTCAGACTACAGTAGCATGTTGAATTCTTACAGCAGCCCTGTATTATGAAAAGTAGGTGAGAAACTAAGTGTAGAGTAGATTAAAACTGCAGAATAGCTTGAATATGAATGAGCTCATCCATATCCTAGCTCAATCTGTTGGGGTTAAACTATGTATGATATCATACATATCTTGTGCAGGTAAACTTTTTTCTCTGAAGCAAGCATGCGGGGCTCTGTTTTGAAAAAAAATATTCCTTCTTCCATCAAACAAATTTACTAGGACAAAAATCAGGGTTGGGAGGTTTAGAATGTCCCAATGTGCACATGACGTGCCTGATGCTACATGCTTCCCTCTCTTCTAATAATAATAATTGTGTGCTATCAAGTTAAGTCTGACTTATGGTGACCCTTCTCAGGTTTTCTAGATAGAGAGTACTCAGAAGCGGTTTGCCATTCCCTTCTTCTGAGGACACCCTGGGACCGGGCAGCTTCTTCAAGGCCACACAGGCTGGCTCTTCTGAGATGCACAGTGGGGGATTGAACTCATAAGCTCTGGCTGCACTCGCTGAGCTATCCAGCCAGCTGCCCTCTCTTCAGTTTAAAATAATCTAGAGGAAAATAGGCATATTTTGAAATTAATTAAAGTATGAATCTTCTATAATAGCCAAGAGTTACAACTTCCCTTCATTTTTTTTTTTTTACTCTCACCCCAGAAACTATTTGTGTTGAGATATTTTTCTTGATATTCTGGCACCATGGTTACATAAAGCATTAGCTTAGATTCTGAAATAGTTTAGATGCTAATTCCATTTTATACTTTGGTTCAGTGTAATGTGTCATAGACGAGTTCTAGAAATAAACCACAAATGTCTACATATTATCCAAATGCCTTTGTAGCAATTTGCATATCAGTTTAATTTTGTTGATAGAAGGAAGTAAAATAAAACTTCTTATTGCATTTTTTCCTATTAGGTTTAATGTTCCTCATGACGATAGTTTTAAATGTAAAGAGGTTGGAATGAAACATCAGTATCATGTAATGGCCCCTACTTTAAACTACCATTCACATCCATGGACATGGTCAAAATGCAGTCAGAAATATATTACTGAATTTTTAGAGTAAGTATGATTTAGCAGTGTCCTGAAACAATGAATATTTCTCTAATTTGATTTTTATGCCATTTATTTTTTAAAAGCTATTTTTATGTGCATGCATGAGATCAAGTTTTATACAAACTTGATGTTTGACATATTCATTGTAAAACAGTATTTCAGGATATGACTATTCAGTTTGAAATATGCGTATAGTTTTCGTCAGGTATAATCTGTACATTAACGAAAGTGCAGTGGACTCCACTGATCACTCTGTAGGATGTTGTGTCAGATGAACTCATTCCAAAATCTATTTGCAAAATTAGTTCAGTTGAAAAGCAAGGTATCTTATAAGAGAATTCTGTTTGTTGAAATGTGTTACAGCACTGGTTATGGGGAATGCCTACTAGATATACCAAATGGAAAAATCTATGATTTTCAGTCTCAGTTGCCTGGTTCCCTGTATGATGTAAACAAACAATGCGAACTTATGTTTGGTCCTGGGTCACAAATATGCCCTTACATGGTAAGTTATTTAAGATTGTTAATATTAGTGAGGCCTCGAGTGACAAGCACCTCAAAAACATGGTCCTTGTTTTGTGTTTTCCTGATGTTAATTGAAAACTAAGCCTGTGCTTCAGTGTGGCATATTGCCCCTGTATTTGGATGACAAATTGTTGTTATTCACGTGACAAGGAAGATTCTGTTTGTTTGACAGAAACAGTGCAAACGTTTATGGTGCACAAGTGCAGAAGGCATTCACAAAGGTTGCCGTACACAGCACATGCCGCTGGCTGATGGTACAGAATGTGGCCATGGAATGGTAAGCTTTCACATTTCTTTTCTTCACTGTCCAAAGTTTTGTTGGCATCATAATTAATTGCTTAACTTCACTACAGGGACATAACACTATCTCACATCTATCATTCATGTCCAAAAGCTGGGGTAAAGAGGTGCGGCACTTGTATGGGTGCACATGCTCTTGTGCACATGCACAAATGGCAGTGCGGCACTTGTGCGGGCGTGTGCACACACGCACATGTGCAGATGGTGGTGCTTGTGCAGGTGTGCACGTTCCTGTGTGCAGGCACAAATGGCAGCACAGCACTCGCATGGGTGCGTTGGAGTGTGCGCGCATGCGCAAATCAGCTGTGCAGGGGTGAGTGCGTGCAAGGGGGTGGGAGGTCTGTCTCTGCAGCCCGGTCTGGCTCAGGCCATGGATTGGCATCGGGCCACAGATCGGGGATTGGGGACCTCTGATCTAGAGGACAGGTTTTTGGCTGAACCCATCAAGGGGCAGTTTCATTCCTGTATCTCTGTTGTGGACCAGTCATATCTAGAAACCAATTGTTAATTTAGAAAATACTGATCTTCTTCTAGAGGACAGGTTTTTGGCTGAACCCTGTTGTGGACCAAATTGTTAATTTAGAAAATACTGATCTTCTTGTACTCTGAGGCGCTTGAGTGTATGCCTTCTACAGCTGGTTTTAAAGCCTGGACAGGTTCCTACAGCTGCATTCTCCTTGCAGCGAGAACAAATGACAGCAGGTGATTTATGACAAGAAATTACTGTGGGAAATGTATATGCACATTAGTTAGAGTAGTTAACACTTCATAAAGTATTTTATTGTGAAGTTAATTTTAAAAAATGCGTAATGGGTACTTGCTTCAGTAATTCCCACAGCAAATGGCAGTATTAAGTTGACAGTGGTGGTAGCTAAGGAAAAAGTGGTTTTCCCCCTTATTCCTTTCCTTAATTGTTTGGGCTCTCCTTTGCATTCATGATTTCTACAGATTATTAATTTTCCATACATATCTTCTTAAGTGTAAAATTAAATAAATTATCTGTAGGTTGAAGGAAGTACTTCAGGAGAACATCAGGCGTAGGTCTGGTGCATACTTTTTCTGCAGTGACTTCATCTTGTTTTTCTGTTGGATTGCTCCACAGTAATAAAAAACTGATACATATTTATTGAATAAGCTATTAAATCCCATATGTGAACATGCATTGTTCCAGTTGTGTGTAAAAAATTGTCATGTACTGCTGTGTTTATGTATAACTTCAGATATTTCGGAAACCTCTTTTAATGCAAATGTAAAATTTTCCTCTCCTCTTTTTATTTCAAAATTTACCCTCATGTGTTATGACATAGAAACTTTTTTCTATGTCTGTTTTTCATTGAGAGAAATTACATATATTTGGTTGTTATTTGTTCTATACTTGCTACCAGATTCTGACTATGAAGTCTGTTTATTAAAAGAAATCCAGTGTGCCACTGTCAATGGTACAAATGGTGTTGTGTAGTTCTGCCGTTTGCGAACAGAATGACATTACCAGCAGTGGTAGTTTACAGCTAATTAAATAGTCCCTGCTTTAGTTTCAGGTTGCATGTGTCTGATGTAAATGAGATGTTGTTTGCAGCCCAAAAATCAAAGCAGGGACTCTTTAATTAACAACAAGCTGCCACTGTCATGAACTTCCGTCCTTCCACAACCGGATCCTGGCCATTATTTCCATAGATAGTGATGAGTCTGCCAACTAGTGCTTGCAAATTACATCAAATATGGGAGCCAGTGTGGTGAAGTGGCTAGAGATTTGGTTTGGTTCCCACAGAAGAATGTTCACGGAAAAGTGTTTTTACTGTATTCCCTTTGTGTGTTCCTCTAAACAAGCATGTAAGGGGAGCAATTCCATTTCAATGATCATTTCTGCTTTTAAAGAGTACCTACTTTTAACTTGCCTTTAAAATCAGAGTTCTTTTGCCACTTGAGGGATGACAGATAGGATATAAAGGTAATAAATAAGCATACAAATAAATACATCAGAGATGGGCAATATAGGAATGGCTTTGCCTTTCATCTAATTCTCTTACTGGGTTTCTTGGGCTCCAGTTATCCCTGAGCCTTCTAGAAAGTGAAGGTGGCGAGACAGAGAGAAAGGCCTCTTCTGATTATATTAACACCTGAGCCTGTTCATATTGGGAAATATGGTATTTGAATAGGTTGGACCCAGGCTATTTAACCAGCACTTTGAATTGTGCCTGGAAACTGATTGGCAGGTGTCTCTCTTTATGCTCATTGTTCTTAGCTTTAAATATTGTCTTTTACTAATGTAAACCTCTGTTGTATATTGATTGTTTTCAGCTTTAAATATTGTTTTTCAATGTTGTAAGCTACTTTGAGTCCTTTTCAAGGAGAAAAGCAAGGTAAAAATATTTTAAATAAATAAATAAATCAAAGCTTTGAGGCTTCTGTGTGAGTAATTGGGAAAACTGGCTGTAAAGATGTGAGCTAGTGGGTCCGCAGAACAAAAGGACAAATAACGCATTCAGTTGACCTTCTGTTAAAGAGGACTCCAAGGAAAGACTGAGAGGGAACTTACATCTCTAAGCTCCTCTTTTATCAAATGGGTTATCAAATGCCTGCTTCCTTCCTTCCCCAGAATCATGACAATTAAAGCTGTGAGAAAGGAAGAGGGGAGGAATTTATTTATTTATTTATTAAATTTATGCGTTAAGATGTTGATTACAACAGGCCTGGAATACTTTATTTAATATATAAAAGGGATTAGAAAAACAGATTACATAGCCTAGCCTGTCTCTAAGAAGAAACTGCTTTGCTCATTTACTATTTATTTGCTGCTCTTTGAAGCCATGCTAGGAAGGATGTACTTTGCATGTCCCAGATCTATGCTACTGTTCTGCTAAGGTGCATTAGGTAGTCTATTTTAGCTTTTGTTGTTTTCTCGTGTGTTTCTCTTGAATGGCCTTAAGACTGTCTCTGTATTTTGCTCCAGTATTCTGGGAAGCTTTTTTGTAACTTTTTGTAATGTGTTCCTTTTGTCCTCTTACTCCCCCCCCTTTTAAAATAATATACAAATATATTTTCAAACAGCTGTCTGGATGTTTGATTTAAAGAATTTGTGGTACTAAAACCAGGTCTTACCTTGACCAAGCTACCGTAACCTTCAGGGTTAGTCTGGCTGTGGTGGCAGCTGTACCCTTCCAAGGGAGACATCCTGCCTCTCAGTGCCTAGTGAATTTTTGTTTTAACTCCCTGGAAGCACTGCCCAGTCTGAATGGATGGTAGTGTGTGGAAGTGATGTAATTCCAGTCAAGGTCCATAGTCTTCACCATATCTGACTCCTCCCTGGGTTCACCCATGCCAGGATGAGCAAGGGGATAATGTGGCAAATTGGCTGTAGTGAGGACCCTGACTATGGTCACAGAAAGTATGAGCAAGAAAACCAGGACACTTTTACTGCCAGCTCTTCTGATGTCCTGTATGAAAGCTGCTAAGAATAGCTTTCTTTATTCTGGATTGCTGAACATTTTCGTTTGACACATAAATGAAAGAGTGAGCCCATATTAAAAACTTCGTACCACATTGGAACCATCTTTCCAGGTTCTTGAATTGGTAGTAATATGTGGAACATAAAAACATCAGATATTTTTTTCACTTACCCAATAATCTCAACATGGATTTAATGTTCCTTCATATCAGGTCCAGTTTCTGCTTTTGGCTATCAGATCCCGTGTCTACATAATTATTTTTTAAGTTGTGGTTCTGTTGTGTTTTGTTTGTTGACCAGCATTGCCGCCATGGGATATGTGTAAACAAAGAAATAGAAAAGCTTCCTGTGGATGGAGAATGGGGATCCTGGGGACCTTACAGTCCATGTAGCAGAACCTGCGGAGGTGGTATCAAAAGTGCAACCAGACTGTGTAATCGACCTGAGTATGCATTTATAATTTTATTTTAAATATTTGTACAATTAAATTATTTTTATTTAGCAACTTACTTAAAAGAAATGGTAAATTCAGAGTACTTTCTGCTAACAGTAAAAATATCTATAAAATGGTTTCCATTAAGTTCATTTATGTGTCATTATATGTTTGAAATGCTTTATGCACCTGGAGACACTTGCAATTTGCTGTAGATTAGCGGTTCCCAACCTTGGGTAACACAGGTGTTCTTGGACTGTAGTTTTCAAGAGCCTTCATTACCAGCTGTGTTAGCTGGGGTTTCTGGGAATTGCAATCCAAGAACATCTGGGTTACTCAAGTTTGGGAACCACTGCTCTAGATGAATGGCTGCCTAAAGTTTTTTGAAAGCCTCTTAACGAAATCTGAGACTATTTTATAGTTCAGAACTAGATCTGTGGGGGTGCCCTCTATAGACTCTGATAGACTTCCCACAAAGAACTTCTAGGAAGCACTGGGGCAGTTTCCTTTTTATACAGGAAGTAGGCCTAAGATAGCCTAGACTAGATAGGGCTTGTTTCAAGGAAGTGAAATGTACGTATGTGTATGTGTCTATAGGTATGTCACTGTGAGCAATTCTGCCTGGAGAATTCTGGGAGTTGGAATCCATAACACACACACCCCCCGGCACACACTTAATGTCTGTATTTAAAGTATACGGAAGCCCTTAGCGAAGGCGCGAAAATGGCTGCCGGCACCTGGAATCCTCGCTGAACGGGTAAGTAACAAAGGTATTGGAACCTTTGTTCCAATACGTTTCCCCTACCCGCTTAGCGATGATTCCGTATAGCGAGGGTAACACACACACCCCCCGGCACACACTTAATGTCTGTATTTAAAGTATACTTATTTTCCATAAGAACTACTGGACAGGTCATTGGTTTAGGCATCTGGCTGCGGATACTTATTTTCCATAAGAACTGCTGGATAGGTCATTGGTTTAGGCATCTGGCTGCGGATTCAAAACTCAAAAGCAAAGCGTGCTACTTATAGACCACCCCATAGCGCTTCAAGCACTCTCTATCTGGCTGCGGATTCAAAGCTCAAAAGCAAAGCATGGTGCTTATATACCACCCCATAGCGCTTCAAGCCCTCTCTGGGCAGTTTACAAGTTAATTATGCAGGCTACACATTGCCCCCCCCCCCAGCAAGCTGGGTACTCATTTTACTGACCTCAGAAGGATAGAAGGCTGAGTCAACCTTGAGCTGGCTACCTGGGATTGAACCCCAGGTTGTGAGCACAGTTTTGGCTGCAGTACAGCAGTTTAACCACTGCGCCACGAGGCTGGGAGTTTGATTCTCCACTGTGCCTCCTTGATAGGGGCTGGATTCAATGATCCATAGGGTCCCTTCCAACCCTGCAGTTCTATGACGCTGCTGCTGCTGATCTTCTAGTGGCATAAATGCCTTTGCACAAGCTATTGTTTGATTGAATATTGTCGATTCTGTTTTGTTATGTGACCCCTTGTAAGCTAATCTGAAAATTTTTAATTGAAAGTTTTAACTGAAGAGGTTTAAAATTAATGAAAATGCCATCAGAGTGAACTAGATCTTAAAAGAATATTTATTGTGTTTGGACTGAAATCTATTATTGAAATTAAAGCATTAAGATAGCTTAAGAAGGATTGCTTTTAATAGGAATGTCTGAATGTCTATTTTTAAGGTGTTTGAAATGCAATTTTTTTTAAAGGCCAAAACATGGAGGAAAATACTGTGTGGGTCGCAGGATGAGGTTTCGATCATGTAACACTGATTCATGTCCAAAAGGCAGAAAAGATTTTCGAGAACAGCAGTGCTCTGAGTTTGATGGAAAACATTTCAACATCAATGGACTAACATCTACTGTACGCTGGATTCCAAAATACAGTGGCAGTATGTCATCAAATACTTTAGTTAATTAATAGATATTTCTTTTCATAAAGTTTTTCACAAGTGATAAAATAATACTTGGCTTTTTTTTTTTGCCCCAACAGTTGCTATGAAAAATCACTGTAAGCTTTTTTGTCGAGTTTCTGGCACAACATCCTACTATCAGCTGAAAGACAGAGTTATTGATGGCACTCCGTGTGGACCAGATACTCATGATCTGTGTGTTCAAGGTTTATGCAGGGTAATTAACTTCAAAATTGTGATTTTATGTGAAATGATCAGCACAAATGATGTTGAGACGTGCTTGTTAATGTTTTCTGCAGTGACTACTGGAACAGTCTAATGCATGAGTCAATTCACATTAGCATGGATTCTCATTGGCATGTTATTCTTATAATGGTGTAATACCAAGTCACATGTGAAAAATTATTAACCATTGCACTGGTCGTGGGAGCAGTAGCCACGAGTTAGACCAAAATACCTTATTTTCTGATGTTATTGCAAGAGGTAACTATGGTTGATAAAAGTGCCAGTGTAGATTTAATGGTAATTATTGTTTGTCATCAATAAGAGCAGTTGCCAGGCAGGGTTGACAGTATTGCTCTCGATCCTGGGTTCCCAACCTTGGGTTCCCAGATGTTTTTGAACTAAAACTCCTGGAAGCCTTTAACACTAGCTGTGCTGTCCAGGATTTCTGGGAATTGTAGTCCAGGAGCATCTGGGGACCAAAGGCTGAGAACCACTGGTCTAGATGGATGCTTTCTGTGTTCTATGAAGAAAGGAAAGGAAATGTGTGAACATTCTGCCTCTGCCCCGGTCACTAAATGTATGATGTTGTGCACCTAGTATAATGATTTGGTAGTATTATGTCTACACCAACCTTCTGTGAATCAGTTCTTAACAGATGACTAAATTGGATGTAAGGTGTAGACTAACTGGTGATAAAGGAACTCTCCCACCTTCTGTCAGTTGAGTTTAGAAATGAGTTAAGCTACTTCAATAAAAAAAATTAGGAAGCTAATTTTTTGGCTAATTGTTAAGCAAACCAGCATTTATCCCCATGTCTGCAACTTGCTCAGCTTCTCCCACAGCCTTGTTTTGTACTCTTCTACCCAGCTTGATATTTTCAGTGGCAATTTGGTAGTGGCAACCACACAGGCAGAGAAAGAGCAGAGGGGGAGATGTCTCCCTCTTCTTGAATAACAAGTTCCCTGCATAGCAGTTCTGAGTGGTAAATGATGAAAAAGTTATCTCCCCTCGCCCCTCCTCCCAGAGCTTCTGCAATAACAGTAGCATTTGTGGAGGCTACATTTTCCAAGGGGTGATTGTAGTCTTATACAGTATTTTGCTAAACAGTGTGTGAGGTATTGGCAAGGCAAGCCCTTTACAGCTTGTCATAGCACTAAAGTGAATGCAGTAAGTGGGATAGGAGAGAAGATGGAATTTCTGTGAATGTGTTTGATAGGAACTGAGTAATGGGATACAGGAGGATTTGGAGGGGAAGAACTGAGTCATAATGCTTATCTTATGGTTAAGGTAAACATTATAGCCCATAAAACTTATGCTTCTGCCTTAGAAGCAACAGCAGTGTTTGGAACTAAGTTATGAAAATGTGAAGATTTATAAGTGACATGCTTAGGGCTAGAATATAAGAGATTCAAGGGCAAAAACAAAATTGTAATACCAACAATTTGTATCATTGTAGTCAATGATATGTGTATTACTTAGGACTAAAAATATTTAAACATCCTGTAAATTCAGTAGGGAATTAAGCAGAAAAAAAGTAACTGATGAAACACATCTTTGTATTTCTAAAGTTACAGATGTATTAGGAGCTGCAGGTTTTTGAACTGTGCTCAGTAGTTTTTGAAGGAAAGTTAAGAAAGGCTAGTAACTTAAATTAATAATTTTTGCCTGCTACCTTATACATGCTTACTCTTACTGATTTTTTTTGTCCATGATCGGACTAAAACACTAGGGCCTAAATCCTGTTTGTGTTTGCTCTAAATCTTGTATTGAGATGTTTTTCTCCTCCTTTCCCCCTTCAGCCCTCCATTGTGATGAAAAATGTGCTCTGGAGGGTGTTCTAGTCTTTTAAAGCAGTGGTCCCCAACCTTGGGCCTCCATATGTTTTTGGACTTCAACTCCCAGAAATCCTGGCCCGCAGAGGTGGTGGTGAAGGCTTCTGGGAGTTGTGGTCCAAGAACATCTGGAGACCCGAGGTTGGGGATCACTGCTTTAGACCACATTTTTAGGAGACACAGATGAGGCTACTGGACAGAGAGGTTTTTGACCCTTTAAATTCTGCTTGCAGAAGCAGTGTCCAGCAATAAGTGTACCTTGTTGGGTCCTATCCTTCAACGGCAGTTCTGATTCGGAATTCTCATTAAGTTCGAAATCTGTTTTCATATGCTAGCATTGCTCTCTTTATTACAGCATGATGCCAAATCCACTATTGTTAAGTGAATGAAACATATTCTGTCAGTTAACATGAGATGGGAGGAAAGTAGATTATAAATGAAATACTATGAATAATAAACAAATATGGATATAAATACGTTTTAACTTGTCTCTGTAGCAAGCTGGCTGTGATCATGTATTGAATTCTAAGGCAAGAATAGATAAATGTGGCATCTGTGGTGGTGATAATTCTTCGTGTAGGACTCTCGCTGGTACTTTCAACAGTGCTCACTACGGTATGTTTCATCATACATGTATATATATCTGTGTGTATGATTATTAATCAGACCAATCTCAGGGTGATTCAAAATAATATTTATTTATTTATTTGATTTATACCCCACCCATCTGGCCTGTAAGACCACTCTAGGCGGCTATATATTCAGCTTGATTAAAAAATGTATGAGAGAGAAAAAAATACTGTTTGTACAGCTCAGTTCATGAACATGTAAACCTTCAGAGAGAATGTATGCAAATGTGCGTAAAATTGCTCACATTTTTTTACATGAGTAGGTTCTTAGGATGCAGTTTTGATTCCTAAGCATTGACAAAAAATAATTTAAAAAGAGGGAGAGAGAGGTGAAAATAAGATATTATTGTAGCATTTCCAAGACTAACAGATTTATTTCAGTGGCTACTTCTCTGGAAATTTGTTAAATCATTGTTACTGTATTCTTTAAGCTGCTCCACACAAACACTTTGTTGTAGTCTGTCAAGTACAGGCTGATTTTCCAAAATTCTTTGATGTACTTTAGTAACTAATGCTTCTTTGCAGTATAAACTCTAGTGCCTGTCCCTTTTTAAAATCCGGGTTGAATATAAGACATTTCTTGCTCCATTCAGGATGAAAACCTTTGTTGCAGCACCTTGAGCATCACTGCTTGCATGGGAAATTAGAGCAAAGGCTGTATATTTACTGTACTCCTTGGCATCTTTTTTCTTGGGAATTGGAATGTATATTGAATATTCCCAGTCTGTGGACCATTGTTTTATTTTCCATGTTTCTTTGCCTATTCTTGTTAGGATTTTGACATATTCTGTTTCTGCCATGTACTCCTGGAATTTATTTCTTCCAAGTGTTTCAAGAGTACCTTTCACCTCTTCTAAAACTGCAGGTTCTTCATCTCTTGAAAACAATCTACCACCTTGGTATCTTTTTTGTGTTGTTCTTCAGTATATTGTTTCCAGTCTCCCTTTATTTTATCCTTGTCAAAAAATATTTCCCCTGTTGGTCTTTCAACATCTCTAATCAAGGTTTACATTCCCCTTTGATTTCATGGATCTTATGGAAGAGATATCTTTTCCCCTCTCTTGTTGTTCTGTTCTCCTTTCTTTGCATATAAATAATTGTAGTAGTTCCTTTTTCCACTATATGATAGTTACTGAAATGTTTTCTTCAGGATTCTGAGTCTGTTTCTGTCACTTTTACTTTTGCTTTTCATCTGTTCTTAACAATTTTCTTCCACCATCCTCATAGGCTTTTCTTTTTTCTTTCTTTCTTTTTTTAACTACAGGAATAATATTTTCAATTCTTCCCTCATAATATATCTGGTTCTTTTGGTTCACAGTCAGTTGAGTTTTGTAATGTGATAATTTGGTTTTAAATTTATTATAAATGATATTTAAGTGTTTTTAAAGCTTTATTATAATTTTTCTACAGGAATATTATTTTCTATTCTTCCTTCATAATATATCTGGTTCTTTTGGTTCATAGTCAGTTGAGTTTTTAATGTGATAATTTGGTTTTAAATTTATTGGAAGTGTTTTTAAAGCTTTATTATAATTTTTGATACTAATAATATGTGGTCAGTAACGTAATCTATTCTTGGTCTTTTTTTTTAAATAAGAGAACACAGCTTCTCCATTTGTTGTTTCCAATTATGCAGTGTATTTCATTTCTGTATTAGCCTTCTGGTGAGGCCTGTGTATGCAATCATCTGTTGTTGCATTGCCTGAATCATGTATTTGCAATAAATAGATTGCTGACTTCATAGAATTCTATGAATTCTGCTTTGTTTTTGACTTCTAGGCCAAATTTTCCAACAGTGTTTGGTTCTGTTTTGTTTCTTACTGATTCATTTCAGTCACTTATGGTTATCACCTGTGATCCGTTTCCTCCTGGATGCTTGCATAAAAGCTTTTGCTTTCTTCTTCAGCATCTGTAGTTCAGCATAGATTTGGATGATGGATATATTTATACGCTTGTCAAGAAATCGAAATGACGCCATTTGGTCAGGATTTGTATTATAGACCCTAACTGCATGTGCTCTATCTTTGAGTCAATCCTTTTCTTCTGATTTTGTCATTTCCAGAGTAAAACACTTTGTAATTGTTGGACTGAAAATATCCTATTCTTATTGACTTAATTCCTTTATCGACTGTCTCAGTAACAATGGTTCAGATCAGTGGTTGCCATTTCATATCTTTCCTCCACAGAGTAGGCTGAGATTTAGCATAAGCTTCCTGCTGGAGGGCAAGGACAGGCCACTGATTTTTTTTATTCCAAGTTCCCTCTTTTCTTCTGAAGCCTGCCACCAATGTTTCTTAGGCTGCCCCTGAAAATTAAAGAGCTTTGAGAATAACATAGGGATATGATATTACGAGCTACAGATGGAAGAAACATTAGAGAAAATCACTGTTTCATCCTCTCCCCCCACACCAATGCCAGCAGAAATTTAATAGATTAGCTAGCATATATAGTGAATTAGTGGCTTGTTGTTGTTGTTGTTCCTTGGCCGTTATTATCTAATTGTACACTTTATTTTTACATGAAACAGACCGGGTCAGTTTCACATCAGATGTGTTACTTGCAAATACTATGTTTTGTAGAACTAATTTGTATGTAATTGTATTTCAGGGTATAATATTGTAGTAAAAATTCCTGTTGGAGCAACAAACCTTGATATACACCAGTACAGTTATTCAGGGAGACCAGAAGATGACAATTATCTTGGTAAGCATTTCTAATTTCTAACTGTTGGCAAAGGAACCACTATATTTAGTGGCTTACATGTTGGTTTCACTAAAGTGTATATGATTTGCCTGATACTTTGATGACATGGCTTCCATTGAAATCCTATTTATCAGATTCACATGTATTTATGAGCTTCACTCCTATATTGTTTTTCAAATTACAACAATCAGTAACAGCTATAAGACTCAGTTATGCAAAATCAGACACAGATTCAAAAATCAGAATCAAAGTTGCAGCATACATTGTGCATAAGATCAACATAGACATTAAAAGTTTAAGAGGCAAGATGGCAGAATAGAAATAAACACTGAAAAGTGCAACACATTATTCAGATGTAAATTCCAGAAAAGCCTGCGTAAAAAGCCATGTCTTATATTTAGGTATGAAATAAAAACACAGTGATGAGGGTTGCCTCTGTTATCTTTTTCTAGCATTATCTGATACTCAAGGAAATTTTTTCCTCAATGGAAATTTTGTTGTAAGCCTATCTAAAAAAGAAATCAGTATGTATGGAATGAATTTTGAGTACAGTGGTTCGAATAACACCGTGGAGCGTATAAACAGTACTGGGCGTCTTGAAGAGGACATTCTCTTACAGGTGAATTTTTAATATTTAATTAATAGAAAGCATTTGTATGTTTTATGTGCAAGAAGTGAGGAAAATTCATTGAAAAACAGTTTTTTGAAATCCTTGTTTAGGTGTTGTGTGTAGGAAATTTGTACAGTCCTGATGTTCGGTATTCCTTTAATATCCCTGTAGAAGAAGGGAATGATCTCTTTACGTGGGACCCATATGGGCTTTGGCAAGACTGCAACAAAATGTGTCAAGGTATTCCCATATTTTTACATTACTCTTTTCTTTTTTAAGGTGGTTCAGCGTTCACACCAGACATTTCTTTTAGCTTGCTGTGGTGTGACTGGCTATGTGTGTATGACTGAAGCATAGTAATGGATTTAACTTTAAATCTAATTGAATGGGTTGACCTTTAAAACCATCATCAGATTTAATTATCATTTTCCCCCAAATTAATTTTCTATTACAATTAAGACATTAGTAGAAATAGTTTCTAACTCTCTGTTTCAAAACAAGGAAGAAAAGATTCGTCCATTTATAAAAAGCCCATGTAAGAAAAGTCAATTTAATATACCACCGTTTTCTTATGGGCAAAACAACATTGAGAATTTCTACAGCGTTTTATAAAATATTTTAGAATGTTTTGAAATATACTTGGGGATTCTTTGTAGATGCTAGACCACCTCCATTAATGACCACCTTGGCTAGTGTCACTCTGCAGGGTGAAGTGAATCCAGTGTCTTTGAAACTTCCCCCTGCACTTTATCAGTGTCAACTATACGAAGCACGCAGGGCAAAAAAGAAGAGGGGAATTAAAGTATTCCTGGCAAATGGTTGGCGTGATGCAGCTACCTTTTTAAAATCAGAATCAAAGTAGTGTCCTGTTCTTAATGTCCTGTTTCAAATTATCCTACTTAAGGACTTCGCAGAAGGAGGGTGACATGCATACGAAGGAGTAATCACTTGGTGGTGTCTGACCAAAGATGTGCGCATGTAACACCTCCCACAGCTGTTACAGAACAATGCAATGCGGACTGTGAATTAAGGTAAAAATAAAAAATTTGTCACAATTAGGCTGTTTTACAACTGTACTAAGTTGGTGAGTGTACATCACAAAATAGTATGCATAGATTAGGATGTATTCAACACATTTAATCAAATTGTTGCATAGTTTGGAATTCTTTTTATAATTTCAAAATAGTTTATGGTGCATTTTTTAGGAGTCCATTTTATTGGTTACATTTGGAATCTTAATTTTTCTTGCCTGTGTTTCTAAAATGTTGGTGTTTCCTGAATTGTATCATTAATAGCCAACAGATACACATCATGTTTGTTTAGATGTTCCATATAATATTTGGATAAATTTGAAATATAGGTTACCTTTACACATTAAAACATATTTAGTTTTATATAATAGTTTATACTTATAGGTGGCATAACTTTGGCAAAAGTGAATGCTCATCTCCATGTGGTCCAGGGTATCGGTCTTTAGACATCCGTTGTATGAAGTACTCTGTTTCAAAGGGACTGAGTGTACCAGTGGATGATAAATACTGTGCTGATCAGCAGAAACCACCAATGCGAGAAGCCTGTCATGGAGATTGTCTTCAAACTAGTTGGCATTACACAGGATGGTCAGAGGTATTCATTTTCAGTATTGTACTTTCATTATTTTTGCATTAAAGTAGGTGATTTTGTCTAGTAAATTGCTAAAAGTCAAGTGGCAAGACACTTTGGAGGTCACTCATTCATAAGGTCACCATAGGTTGGAAGTGGCTTAAAGGAACATAATGATGACTAGTATTTGTATGCCATTGGGTCATTTCCAACCTATGGTGATCCTATGAATGACTGCATTCCAAAAGGCCCTGTCAGATCTCACAGACTCAAAGTCATGGCTTCCTGTATTGAGACAATCCATTTCATGCTTGATTTCCCTCTTCCTGCTGCTTTCAACTTTTCCTAGTATTATTGACTTTTCTAGTTCATCTTTTCATGTCAGCTTTTCTCACTGTCCGGATTTCATATCTGTACATAGAAATTGGAATACCATAGTGCCATCTCACCTTGGCCTTGATCTCTAGTAGTACATCCACTGACTAGAACAGACTGTAGAATCAGTAGGACTTAGGTCAGCTCCATTGATTCAGTGTGGCTACTCTTTGTTAGAATTTATTTCAGCCATCTATTTGGCTTCTTCACATACAATAAGGAGAAAGGGTGTCATCCCTCATTTTATGCAGCAAGAGACTTTGACGAGCTGTAATATATTAATGTAGCCCTGAGTCATTTACACACATCTTCCTTAATCTTCAGCTGGCTGGATAGCTTAGTGCAGTGGTGCTGAATCTTTTTGGGCTCGCGTGCTCAAACTGAAAAAAACAAACCAAACAAACAAAACCACACACCAGCGGGTGGCATGCTGCAACGGAAACAGAAGTGGCCGGGGTGGAACCGGAAGTGGTGGTGGAAGGGGGAATCCCGGACACAGAGGTGCCTTGAGCCCCCCCTCTGGACCCGCCACCAGCGACAGCTGTTCCGGATTTGCCTGCCGAAATGGCAGCACTGTGGCTGCAGCCGCCTCTCAGGTTTGGCTGCGTTTGGGGTGGGGGGGAGTAGCAATCTGCAACTTATGGCTCGTGTATCTGGAGAAAGGGCTCTGTGTACCAGCTGTGGCACATGTGCCATAGGTTCGCCATCACTGGCTTAGTGGTTTAGGTATCTGGCTACAGAGCCAGAGGTTGAGATTTCAGTTCCCCATTGTGTCTTCTGTAAGTAGAGCCAGCCTGTATAGTCGTGGGCAAGCTGCACTGTTCCAGGGTGTCCCCAGAAGAAAGGAATGGTAAACCACTTCTGAGTATTCTATACCTGGTAAACCCTGAAAAGGGTCACCATAAGTCAGTATTGACTTGATGGCACATTATTATTACTATTAGTATTCCCTAATCTGCAATGATTTTTTATAATGATCTTTCTCCCTCTCTCCATCCCTCCTTGACTTGTCTTTTTGTGGTTGCTTTTCTCAATGAATCAGTGTTCTAGGAGTTGTGGACGAGGTACAAGAATCAGAGAAGCTTTTTGTATGAACAATTTTGGCCGTCACCTTGCAGACAGAGAATGCAACGAACTACCAAAGATTATTACTCAAAACTGCAATGAGTTTCTATGCCCCCACTGGATTGTTGGTGATTGGAGTGAGGTAATGTATTCGCTATTCCTTTATGATGGAATAAAATTTAAGTTTGTACAAGAGCTCTTTGTTGGGTTTGGCTGTATCCTGAACTGAATTGGCATAGTTTGGGTCAATTTATATGAGATCTGTATAGAAGCAACAGTTTCCCCATCACTTTCTAATTACTGTGCTTGCACAGAAGAATTGAGTATATGCAAGATGGCGCTGTGATTAGGAGGGGAAGAACGGAAGCTGAATTTTGTTCACTGGTAGCTCTAATGTGTAATCTGAGACAAGAATTTCATCGTTACCCTCCAGTCACAGTGCATGTCTGTAGTATATCTAGATTTCCTGTATATTATTACAAAAACATGGCAGTTTTGGTTTTCTAATGCAAAACAACAGGAAGCTGGCAGTCTGAATTTACAAATTGATTTAGATCTGGATCACAAAGAATTGACCTCCAGACCAAACTGGGGGACCTATGTGCAGTCCCAATTTACACAGTGGTTCTTGTCTAGCCAAATGTGCTATCAGGAAAGACAGTATCAGGCATCCATCAACAATCAAGATGTTGTTCATTTACATTTATACTTAGAGACTTTCATAATGCATGGCAGAGAAGATCACATGGCTCAAGGTAACCAGTATTTGGTACTTCAGCCTGAGTTCTTTATTCAAGAAATCATTGAAACAAATTGAGCATCTGAACATAGACACTGTACTGTATAGAGAAGTACCTTACGGAAAATATATAAATTTGCCTTATAACTCCATCTCTTGTTCTCAAGTTACTTGGTTTCTTTCACTGTACTCTCTCCAGTTTTGTCTTCCCCAGTTTTTTTTCTGCCTTCAATCAGGGAAGAAATAAGCCCTTCCTCTATTTTATGCATAGCTCATCAGATCACACTTGTACAGTTTTCTTGATTCCTTTCTATACATTTTATAATTATGTGAGTCTTTTGGAGGTGGGGGTACAAACCTGGTTACAAAAAGTACAATCTCTTTACCCTTGTGAAAGGAAGTGGTGTAATAAAATTGCACCAGACTTATCAGAACGTAATGCTAAAATGCATTTGCCATATTTAATCTTCTGAACATGCAGTGTTCTGTGACATGTGGGAAGGGAACAAAGCATCGACAAATATGGTGTCAACTAAATGACGACCAACTAGAAGATGCTTTCTGCAATCCAAACTTGTTACCAGAATCTGTGGGCGAATGTGAACTTAATGAATGTGCAGCTTGGCAAGTGGGACCCTGGGGAGAAGTGAGTACACAGAAATTCTCTCATAATATTATTTCATGGTTATTTGCTAGCATCCACTTCAGGTAGTTCCTTTGAAGATGGATAAAGAGAGAGAGAGAGAGAGAGATTGTTTGGAGAAAGCTTTGTTGAAATAAGATTGCAAAAGACCAGAACAAAGACTTTGAAGAAATGATGATGTATGACAAATAGTCAGTGCAGATGCTACCACAAGTCATAAAATAAAGACCAGGGCATTATAATTTTGATCAAAACATTGATAAAATATACAACCAGCCATTTCAAGGTAGTAAATAAAAGGAAGATTTAGCAGAATGCACAAATAACAAGTGAAAGAGCAGATTTCCCTTCCAATGTTCAAAGATATAGCACCCTACAAAATTCTTTAAAAATCATAGAGTGTTGAAGACATGACTGAGAATGCATTACAACTAATTTGGGAAGAAAGACTGATGGCAGATGAGTCTGTCCAGTATAAAAAGAATGAGTATGATTGGGATGAAATCAAGGCTTGTGAGAGCCTGAATATGGGAGATAGAAGCTGCCAATTTGTACTGAGATAAGGAGCCAGTGTTGAAATTGAAGAAAGGAGTGGTTATTCCAGTGGTTGAACTGGATGAATTTGACATTATATTTCTTACTGGCTACCTGTATTGATAGTGGAAGTATAATTTGTGTTGGAAATGTATTTATTTATTTAAAATATTTTTACTTCACTTTACTCCTAAAAAGCACTAAGGTGGCTTATAATATTAAATGATAACAATATTAAAAGCTAAAAAGAATAAGTCATTACAAAATCAATTTTAAAGAAACAATATAATATTTAAAAACTGTAAGTAAAGAGAGAAAACAACAGAAATGTATTAGTCCCATTTTAAGAATCCCCTTAGACAGCCAATCACTAAAAGAAAGCCTACCTGAAGATAAAGGTCTTTGCCTGCTTTCAGAAAGACATCAAAGATGGGGCCAGCCTAGTCTCCTGACAGAGGGAGTTCCAAAGTCTGGGAGCAAAGACAGAGAAGGCCTTCTCTCATGTACCAAATGCATCTGTGAAGGTGGGGGTGCAAATGCAAAATCTAAAATGTTTTATTTGTGTGGAATTGTTTGCATTTAGTGTTCTGTGACATGTGGGCATGGATACCATGTGCGTGCAGTAAAATGTATTTCTGGCATTTACGGAGTTATTATGGAGAATGACAGAGAATGCAGTGTTGCTACACGTCCAAGAGATAGCCAGGTAAGTAAGATAAGAAACAATGTTTAATTTGAACTTGTTTAAAGTGAACTTCTTTTTGTTCTTCCCACATTAATAATGTGTAGGACCTAAAAACGTTATTTTCCTTTAAGGAATGTGAGATGCCCTCTTGTCCAGAGATGATAAAAATATGGCCAACATCCCTTCCTGCCATCCTAACTGACAGTGTGGCTCAGTGGAGATACGGATCATGGACTCCAGTGAGTAATCTTGCAAGAAGGATAGTAATCTATTTCATAGCTGAATAGTAAAAAAACCCCAGTTTTGTATCAGTTTTACTTGGACATATTGTGTGTCCATTTTTTTCTTTACTCCTTAAAATAAAATGAGGTAAAGTAGTTGGTTTTAAGAACATTCTTGATCAGAAAGTCTTCTCCATTCTCTTCTTCACCAGATAATTTAGGCATTCTTTTCTTTTTCTTTTTTCTTTTCTTTTTTTCTTCTTCTTCTGGCATTGAATCACTGAATTATCCCAAGTTTCCAAATAATTTATTTTACATAATAAAATCACTTCAGTTTCGTATTTCCTTCGATCAAGTGATGGACCAATGGGTTCAGGGAGTTACATTCTAACCAATTAGCCACAGTATTCTGTTGATTCTGATGAGTCCGGAATAATGAAATGTGGTGATGAGTAGGAAATCTACCTGGCCTTGATACCTCCCAACACTCTAGTCTGACCCAACTAAACAGTGCTTTCAGGGTCTTTTGCTGAAAAGGCAGCAGAAGTGAAATAGATGTTAATAGATGTTAATGAGGTAGAGGGTAAAAGGCAAGGAACAGTGAAAAAGGAAATGAAAATAACTTTATTTATTTATTTTATTTATTTATTTATTTATTTAACTTATATGCCACCCACTCTACCCAAAGGTCTCTAGGCGGCTTACAACAATTAAAATTCAATTAAAATACAATAAAAGTTAAAATGCAGATTCCCAGTAGCTGGCCAATGCAAAACCAGTTTTTAAGTACCATAAACCCTCTTAGCCAAGAATCCAGACAATTGAACTGAGAAAATTTTTTATATTTATTAAAGATAATGAAAAGGTTAAAAAACCCAAATGTTGAAGGTTTCAAAAAGATATCAACAGTATTTTGAGCAATCAATCAGAGTATAACGCGAGAGTAATACAGATCACACACACAACAGAAAATAAGAACGCTATCAATACTACTTAGTACTTAAACTAAGTGTAGCATCAGTATAGTTTGGGAGTATGCAGAGTGCATCCCTCCCAACAGCATAACATGACAGTTATTGAGCATAGCATTTCCTGAGAGATAGTTAAGCCAACTAAAGTAACTTCTGAACTTATTTTTATACCTTTTTCTTCACCTGGATTTTTCGAGATGGTCTGCCAGTCAGGCTTCAAGTTCCCGCCAATGTTCACAAAGACTAGAGCAGTGTCTGTTCCCCTCCCTTCACACACAGCTGAAGTTAGTACAGGACCAGGGAATGAGCCAATCCAGCATCCATTCTTTTGTAGGCAACTTCTGCCTCCACCTTTCTCCCAGCCATACATTCATAGGCACTGAGGAAAGCCTAATTTTTTTTCAGAAAGGTCCCCAATCCATATTTCCCTAATTTCACAGTTTCTTCACAGATCATGTTTGTCATAAAATGCTGCTTCTTTCTGAATTTCTCTAATGTGCATTGGGACTTCTATCATGTGGTCATAGGTTGCTTGCACTCCCCCCCCCCCAGTTATTCTTGCTGCAAAATTCAGTCTGAATTTGCAAAATATCAAAGAAAAAAAAGTGACCAAAAAGAAGTCCCAAAATGGATAGCAAGATGAAGTAATAGCCTGTCTTGATCTGTGACTGTTGCCACACCCAACTGTATTCGAGTAAGATGACCGCTTATATCAAGTAGCCCTCATTCCTGCCCTTCCTAAAAGAAATGACATGAGAATGGTGGGGGCTGGGGGCCACAAGAAAGGCTGCCACTACACAGAGGCAGTGTTGGCTTTATAGAATAACTGTTTGTCCATAGGTGTCTAGTGTGGTGTAGTGGGTAGAGTGATAGACGAGGGTTCACAGGACATGAGTTTGAATCCTCACCTGATTGTGGAAACTTAAACGACGTGGTGTAAAACTACTCATTAAATATCTCTCTTAGCTTGAAAACCTTATGAGGGTCACTGTAAGTTAGATATATCTTGACAGGACCTAACAAAAATATGTCCATAGTCAAATAGTAGGTGGCCAGTTAATCAGCATGCAAATATACACGTTGTCCTAGAAAACCACTTACCATGATGGCAAAAGCTATATCCCTATGTATAGACTTCATGAATATGTGTGGAACTGTATGATTTTGGTTGTTCATCTTTGCAGTGTTCTGTATCATGTGGGAGAGGAAACCATGCCCGCTATGTAAGCTGCCGGGATGGGCATGGCAGAGCAGTGGAAGAATCACTTTGCACACATTTACCCAGACCAGAAGAACTTTCAAGCTGCTTTAGTCCATGTGGTGTTTGGCAAGCAGGAAGTTGGTCACCTGTAAATATTATGTTTTTTTATTATGTTTTTATTTGCTCTTATTTTATTAAAACCCAAATGTACACCTAGGGTGAACACCTGCTTACTGTGTTTAACTTCTGAAGAGGCATGCATGGAACAATTTATCCATTATTTCTCACACATAGAGTTAATTGTAATTTTTAAAAATAGTTATCATTGGTTATCCTTTTTTCCTGTTTTGTTGTGTCACATAAATGTTGGGTTAATTTTTGGTCAGTGCACAGTTACATGTGGTAATGGAATAGTAACAAGGCAAGTTGTCTGTGTCAACCACCATCAACAAATTGATGAGAATTACTGTGATCCCGAAGGCCACCCTGCAAAAGAACAAGAATGTAGCATGCCATCTTGTCAGCCTGTTAACCACCATATTACGGAGATCTATGAACACCCAAGGCATCAGGATTATCCTCCAATATACAAGGTCCATCACTCACATGATAATGTAAATTCAAGGAACTATCACTCTCCTCAAGGGAACCAGTGGAGAACAGGGCCATGGGGAGCAGTAAGTAAATAATTAGCTTTTGATTCTGTGTATAGTTTTGAAAAATATTACTGGGACTTTGTTTCTCTTGAACATTTCTGTATATGTTTGTTGTCTTGCCCTAGTGCTCAAGTACTTGCGCTAGTGGATTTCACCGCCGGGTTGTGGTATGCCAAGATGAGGATGGGCAAAATGCCAGTTACTGTGATGAGAGACTGAGGCCACCGGACTTGAGCCACTGTGATTCTGGTCCCTGTCCAAGATGGAACTACGGGAATTGGGGAGAAGTAAGATCACTTCTGGGGGGGGAACCTAAAAACCAACTACCTTAATAATGCATTCAGGAAAGCTGAACAAACTAATATATGTTTATTTGTGTATGTATTTATTGCCTTTTAGCTCACTATCAAGCAGCTTGAAAGCTGCATTGTAATTCCAACACCATTCATTGCCCGTTAAATCCATGTAACATCTAAGCAGAGGGAGTCCTAAATGTCCATTGAATCAAACATGACAAACTTTTAGATGGGCATGTATATATTGTCCGTAGGGTGTTCATCTGGTGTAGGTGTAACTTGTGCAATAGGATTTGGGCCACAGTTCTGTTGTTGAGTGAAACAGCCAATAACAATAGCATTCCTTGCCTTCCTGATTGGGAGTGATAGGATTTGTACTCCAGTAGATCTAGAGGTTTCCGGGTACCATCTTATGTTGGATATCTGTATTTTTTACCTTGTTGTCCGGAGGGGAAAATAAAACAAGTTTCTGTTGTTTTGAAACACTGTTTGATATTTTCATGCATGGAACTGCAGAAGCTGTCCTGTGCTCTGATGAAGTGCATGTTGTATATTGGTTTCATGCAGCCAGCACCTAATCAGCTCACCATGACAGATTCTATGGTTGAAGCTCCTCTTACATGTAAACATTGAACAGGATACTGACCACTGTGGGTGCTTTTGTTGGCTCTTTGAACCTAATGTGGTAAATTTATTTTTATGCTACTTCTGGATAACTGGTCATTGAAGGTATTTATTTGTTGGATGGGTGGGAAAATAAGTTTGTTAGTTCTGAGTGGTAAGACTAACTCCAGGCAAGCAGCACAGAGCAGTCTGGAAGATAAATAAGATATGGTTTTTTAAATAATAACAAAATGGGTTCGTTCTGATGCAGAAACATGAGTGAAAATGATTTATGTTTTATTTACAGTGTTCTCAAACATGTGGCAGTGGAAAAAAGACACGATTAGTGATCTGTCAGCTTCCCAATGGCCAAGTGTTGAATGATCAAAACTGTGAAATAGTAGAAAAACCACCTAATACAGCACAATGTAATACACATTCATGTCCTGGTGAAGTTTCATGGCATCGTGGACCATGGAAATCGGTACGATAGTATTCACTATCATTTTTATATTGTTTTATTTCTTCTCCACTTTACATTATTTCTTTATAAACACCTAGAAAGCAGTTATGCTTAGTTACAAGAAGAAAGGCTTCTACATTTTGTGGTTTATATATTCCAGTCCATCTGACATTGCAGCCCTGCAGTTGCAGACATTATTCAATACTGGAAGTAGCTCTACAATGCCCATTTTTCCACTTCCTTCAGTAAGAACAGAATGTATACAATTTGTAGAAAATTAAGTATTTTGTATTTAAGAAAGAAAAATTCCATTTTTATTCATCATCTTGGTTTGTTAGTGACTACCTTCCTTGTTCCTAAGCTGGCCTTGAAGACAAAGAATCTATTTAATTTTTTTTAAAATCAGTTTAATTTTTCATGATGATACATATTTATTTTTGTATATATGAAAAAATGCATACTTTGAAATCTTGTATATAGGTCACTGCCATGTACGTACTTGCCCTCTACAATGCCATCCCCACAGTGTGCCATATGTTTTGGACACAATGTTGTCTCTTTATATGAAATGTATGTGCAATTATTACAACTGGCCTATTTATACCTGGCCTGGTTTGTCCAAACCATGCTTCTTGTTGTAAGCACAAGGGATTCACATATTTTTCTTCTCCTCTTGTGTGTTTTGGGAAAAGATTTAAAGCTTCCAGTACTGCTCTCTGTGAACCAATATCCCAGAGGAAAGAGGAAACTGATTTCTACAAAGACAGTAAAAGAATCCTAATGCTAACCGTTAGTTCCAATTAGAGTAGGCCCATTGATTGAATCAAAAGAATTAAGGGTTGACTTGCACATTCCTGTTGATTCAGTGGGTGTACTCTAGCTCAGAATAAAAATTGGATTTAAGCCAGAACTTTAAATTATTTCCTCTTGTGCATTAAATGTGGGGGGAGGAAGCTCAAAAGCCCAAGACTCATATTGGCTCCTATTGTTTGACTGGTTATACAAAAAGAAATACAGTCATTGCCATTAATGTTTTGTCAGTTGCCTTTTCTAAATGTTGGAAATGATTTAGCCAGAGTTAAGTGAATTTGTGTCCCATTATTTAAGTTAGAAAGTGAAATAAGTGGGACATTAAAGCAATGCATATTGTCATGTTTCTGTAACTAAAATTTTAAAGTGAAATTCTTAGTGTAACTACAATAATCCTATTGTTTTGCAAACAAAATTTCATAACACATTTTATGTAGTTCAACAGATCCTTTGCTGGAAGTCCCTAATGTGTTAAGAATGCTTTTGCAGGCAAACCAATTTAGTGCTTTCTTGTTAAACAAGTCAGTGTTTTATGAAGTGAATATTACTCATTTCAGTTATTTTTCGTGTTGCTAAAATTCATGTTATAAACTATATTTTATATACTGCTATTCATTTTTAATAAGTAGTAAAACAGTTTTGTGGGCCAAATTGAATTTTCAATCAAAGTATGATGGACATTTAAGTCCTAAATATTTTTACTTAATTTGCAATACATACCTGTGCTTCATTAATTTTAATTTCCACTGGCTTTAAGGGGAAATTTAAACTTGTTGAAGCTGTGCGGTGGAAACCATTTTCAGCTGTGGCTGGATCATAACTGCCCAATATTTATTTTTTTTTCTTGATCATTGCCTGAAACTGTAGATTATGGTCTTTCTTACTAATGTTGTTTCAGCTAAAGGTACCAAGTTCATAAAGAAGCATAGTTCAGCTCTTAACAAAAAAAAGAAGGAAATTGGTTTGAGTGAAAATTGAGAGTATATTACAGAATGTTCACTACTCTGGTCTTCATTTCATTAGAATATTTACATTTACTTTTGTCATAATTTGTACTGCAAAACAATCTCTTGTAAATTTATATAAGCAGCTGACTTTGTGAAACTTGATTGAGCATTATGTTGGTTGGATCCAGAGCAGAGTTTGGAATGTTTTGTGGGAAAGGTAACATACGTTACATCTTGGTCATTTATTTCTTCTGCTTGTTCTTTTCTTGTTACTGTTCATTAGTGAGAAATTATTTATTGACACCATTCTCAGTGTTGTGTTTCATAATTTTGACCAAACAAATCTTCTAAAAGTTGGTAACTTTCCAATCCCTCTCAAAAATAATGTTTTTCAAATAAATGTTTCTCATTATGCCAAAGAATATACCATTCCTTTTTCTATCATTAAGATGTTTAAAGGTTGTCCTTCATTAAACTAAACAAAAAAGGTAGTAGTGAGTAATGTTGCTGCTTCTAATACCCTGTTTCCCTGAAAATAAGACCTAGTATGATTTTTCAGGATGCTCGTAACATAAGCCCCACCCCAAAAATAAGCCCCAGTTAAGTGAAACCCTGCCCTCCACCATTGTGCAGCATCCAGAAGATGATAAGATGACTGTATTTAAATAAATGTAGATTGTTGTACATGAAAAAAAAACCCTAAAAATAAGCCCTAATGCGTTTTAGGAGCAAAAATTACTGTATATACAGTACTCGAGTATAAGTCTAGTTTTTCAGGACGTTTTTTTTTTGCTGAAAAAGTACCCTCTTGGCTTATACTTGAGTCAGTGTCAAAATTACATGTTCTCAGCTGCAGTGCGGGTGTTCTCCAGACCCCCCCTCATCTACGGACACCTGCAGCCTCTGTGGGTGGTCTGATTACCCGGGTTAAGTGCACTGCATTTCTGTTTCCAGGACACTCCCATCCTCCTCCTCCTGCATATTCTGTGTACCCACGTTTCTCCTCCATCCTCTGTCTTCCTCCATCTTGTTACACAGCAGTAGAGCAGTAGATAAGCTCAGCATCCAGTATGAGTCCTACCTGCACAGGCAGTGAAGTGTGTCTCTCAGCTCAGAAGGGCAGTATCTTCAAAAACATTTAACCTACTGATGCCTCAATTAATGTACAGTGGTGCCCCGCATAGCGCTGATAATCCGTTCTGGAAAAATTGTCGCTATATGGATTTGTCGCTATGCGGGGGGGAAAGCCCATAGGAATGCATTAAAACCCGTTTAATGCTTTCCTATGGGCAAAAAACTCACCATTATGCGAAAATCCTCCATACAGCCGCCATTTTCGCTGCCCGGTAAGTGAGGAATCGGCGCGAAAACACAGCAGGCGGCCATTTTTTAACCTGGTGGCCATTTTGGAACCGCCGATGAGCTGTTCTAAAAACATCGCTATGCGAAAATCGGTAAGCGAAACAGCTTACCGATCATCGCAAAGTGATGTTTTACCATTAAAGACATCGCAATGCGATCGCTTTTGCGATCGCAAAAACATACAGTGGGGTCTTGACTTGAGAACTTAATCCGTATTGGAAGGCGGTTCTCAAGTCAAAAAGTCTGTAAGTCAAGTCTCCATTGACCTACAGTGCATTGAAAACAGATTAATCCCGTAACAGGCCGTTTTTGTTCCATTTTGGTTTTTTTCTGGTCTGTAAGTCAAATCTCAGTCTGCAAGTCAAACCTAAATTTTGCGGCCAGAGAAGTCTGTAACTCAAAAAGTCTGTAAGTCAAGCCGTCTGTAAGTCAAGGGTCCACTGTAGTTGCTATGCGGATTTGTCGTTAAACGAGGCACCCGTTAAGCGAGGCACCACTGTAATTTTATTGGTATCTATTTTTATTTTTGAAATTTACCAGTAGCTGCTGCATTTTCCACCCTTGGCTTATACTCAAGTCAATATGTTTTCCCAGTTTTTTGTGGTAAAATTGGGTGCCTCGGCTTATATTCTGGTCGGCTTATACTCGAGTATATACAGTAATATAAGACCTTATCTTGTTTTCGGGGAAACACGGTATGTTACTTCCCAGCTCTAATCCATTGCAAATTAATTTTAGGCCCTTTAAAATCAACAGGAAACTACCGTAATCACATCAGTTGGTTTCAATAGGATCTGATTGCAGCTAGCTTGTACCTGTTCCAGTATAGCTTATGTATTTCAGTTAAGTGTGATCTGAATAATTGACTTTATCCAGCATTTCTCAAAGGCCTTTTATTTTTTGTGCTAAGACACACTTGTTTCTATATTTCAACCCCTTTCACCATCATGTTAAGGGCATCTTTTTTTGTCTACTTCAGTAAGGACAAAGGTTAGATCAACTGTAAATAAGTAAAATAATATTTATTTGATCCATGTTAATGTAAACGTAGAATTTTTTGTTATGGAAGAATCTGAATTCTATGTTGTCTAAAAGTGTTTTTATTTTTGATAGTCTTTTATATTAAAAGGAAAGTCAAGATCATGGCTTGCAAAACCAACTACAGTCATATACCTCTGCCTCTGCTGCTGCATTCTGCCAAACATCAGGATACCTCACAACTAGTATTTGTTCAATGGTTTGTTTACTAACTTCAATCTTGCTACCTGCTGATAGTTTAAAAAACAACTTCAGGAGAAAACAACCACCTGTCAGTGCCTTGTTGTATAATTCATGCAATGGAATTGACAGAACCGATCATATGAAACTCAGTCCAGCACAATTATGTTGACAACATAAAGATTTCTAAAAACTACCAGACATATTTATTATTTTATTTGTATTAAATTCACAATGATGTGTCCATGTTGATCTTGCATTTCCCTGTAATTAACAAAATAAACAATTAATAATGTATGTCTGATAATTTAATTCCGTTATATGGATGTTATTTCCTGTCTGTGTGAAATAATTGCTATTTGATTTCTTTGTTTGATACATATTTTTCTGGCTTCACAGTTGTGGCTATGTTTCTAATCACATGTGCTTTTATTAATGCATCCTTTGTTCAGAATTAACCATTGATGTGGAAGTTTTTCTAATTAACTTCAGATGACACTGTGTATGGCAATAAATGTTCTACTATTTTTGGTGCCATTGTTTTCATAGGGGTTAATTGTCACAATAATTAAGTAATTAAAGATTTAAATACTGTTTGTCATGGCCTTCATGTGTGGACTTAATATTTGTTAACTAAAACATATTCTAGAAAGTCACTTGACAGTGAACTTTAAATAAATATTC